ACCGACCAAATAACAACATCAAAAAAAATCAGATGGCTTAAATGATTCCACGCAAATCTGCCTTGTGTTCGTCGCTCCTTCTACACCTCCTCCACCCGCACATCCCTGCGCTGCTCACCGCGCGGATCTGTTCGTGCTCGCGGTGCCGGCCGGCCCGGGCTGCGCGGGGCTGGGAACACCCGGGGCGCCAATTAACAAAAGCAATATTTAACTAGCTGCGGGAGGCCGGAGGAAGAAGAAAACGAGGGGTGGAGGAGGTGGGGGAGGGACGCGGTGAGGTGAGGGTGTTGCACTGAACGAGGCGGGCTGCGTAACCCGCTTGCTCTTCAGCACGGCTCGGCTCGGTCCCGCACGCACACGGCGCTCCGGAGCCCCCGCACCGCGGCCACGCGTGAGCTCAGCGGGAGGCGCTGCCACGTGGCCCCGGAGCAGCCGGGAGGGATGCAGGGCCGGGGGGTGCCCGGAGAGGAGGATGAGGAGGAGGAAGATGAGGAGGAGGCGGCGGTGGACCTGAATGGGAAGGGGTGGGCTGGATGCGGAGGCGGTGGGACGAAGTCTCACCTGGGGAAGCCGCGGGTGCCGCCCCTGGGAACTGGAGGGGCCGCTAAAAAAATGAACAGCAGCTGCGTGAAGCAGGCGGCAGCCCCGAATAGCAGGCAGCCATTTCACGCGGCCCGGCAGCTCCCGCGGCCGGCTCCGAGCAGCCCCGCAGCAGCACCTGCCGTGGGAGCTGGGCTGGGCAGCCCCGAGTACAGCACAGCCCAGCCCAGCCCAGCCCGTCCCGTCCCGTCGCTCCCCACACGCCGAACGCACGTATGCGGCTCCGAGAGCACGGCTTGATCGCGCCCCTTCTGCCCCCACCCGCTGTCTCTTCCTTAAAACATCACATCGTACCCTGGAGAGCAAGGAAATACCCGGGCTTTCTCGGGGGGTGGGGTGATGCTGGGGGTTATCCCCCTTCACTTTCTTCTCTCATTCGTAAGTAATTAATTAAAATTACACTGGGAGAAAAGACGCTTTTCCGGATAAAACAGACAATTTTTTTTTTTTTTTAGGTGCTAAATATCACAGTTCTCATTCGCGTTTTTTCATACAGCCCAGCCCCAGCCAACCTCAGCACAAGAGCAGCCCCGGTCCCCCCGGCCCCCAACCTCCCCCCGCTCCGGCAGCGGAGCGGCCCGGCCCGGCACCAGCACAGCTCCCCCTTCTCACCCTGCTGCTCTGCTTCGCTCTCAAACCTCTTGAAATACGGCCCTGAAAGGAAGATGGTGGACACAGTGCAGTGAATCATGCTACCTTAGGTGCATAATATGCACTTTTTTTTTTTTTTTTCCCTTCTGCAATCATATGACAGAGCAGGAGGGAAAACACTTCGATCCTGCACTGTGAAACTCACCTGCAAGTGCAAACTTGGGACCACATCCGGCACTCCCAATTCTGTGCTCTGACTCTCTGCTATTAGCTGTCATTACCCCCAGAAGCATTCCACATACCGTGTCTGAATGTGAAACAGATAAGAACCTGAGGCCGAAGGCTGCTAATATTCAGTGCTAGACTGACAGGAATTCTTTATTTAGATATTAGCATGATATTAGCATAGGATTAGGGCTGGAAGAGTACTCTCTTTCCATTGGACTGCTGGATTAGTACACCCAGAGAATTCAAGCCATGTCAGTATATCCAGCAGTTGTTCCCTGCTGTGGTGCATGCGCTGACAATGAGGGCACGTTGGTTCTGTGCCTAGGACACACTGTGCAGCAAAGCCCACTTCAGGCCGGCTCTTCCAGTAAATGAATGAAACATCTCTCAAATAAAATCACTACATACAGATATAATGGTGCCTTCCATGTGGAAGATTAACGTATACCCCCACACTTTCAAAATAAAAATGAATGCATAAAGCCTCTCCTGAGCCACGCTTGGATGATCTGTATAGCTTAGGATTTTTGCTAGATGTGACTCCTCCATCATTTAAGTGGGTCAACAACAGTAACACTTCCTTACCTCTACTCCTGGCTCTGTGTGCCCTGTGTGATAGGGGTATCATTATATATTGACACAGAGTATGAAGTCATACAGTACTTTTCCTTTTGCAAATGCTTTGCTGTACTCTTTCAATAGTAGCACTTTTTGTCCGAACACAAGTTCTGGTCTATCTCTGTCATTCAGAACTTCTCAGTGCCTTAAAAATCTCCCACTTATCAAAGAAATCGTTCCCCTTTCCCTCTTGTGTCTGTGTGTGTTTGAAAAGGAAATTAAATAACCACTGCAAAGAGCAGCATTGGCAAGATGGAGAACCATTCATGTCATACTCTTGAGGATTGTTATCCAAGTTTTTGGATGTATTATGATGGGGAAACAACCCAGTTGCTAGTTGGATGATAATTACTTGCAGCTTAAAAATACCTCAGATTATAAACTACTATAATCTTTCATAGAAATCAGCAAAGATGGTCACATTTTACATGCTAGTTGCAAATCATTCTTATTCTTAGCTTTCAACGTTGACGAGTACAAAAGAATACACAAATAAAATTGAAATACTCTGAAGTGATGTCCCACTATCCTTGTTGGCCTGTGTGTGACACTGCAAGAACTGGGCTATAAATAATGTCATACTTCACTTGTCTTGTCAGCCCTTGCCTATGGCAGTATATTCCTGTCACCATGAGCAACAGCCCAGGCTATGTATGGAGAACTGCTGTAAAGCAATTATAAAATAGTTTGCTGTAAATATATAGATTAAGTTAAATATGTTTTCGTATGGGATAAGACAGGTATGTATTACTGCCACTGAAGCCCAAGGCACAGAACAGATACTGATTTATGCCATTCCAAGAACTCCACCTCCACCACTGGGGCTGTGAATAACAAGGGCAAAAACCCCCTGACAAAGAAATTCTTTCACTACACATCAGTGGCTTGATCTGCTACTGTTCTTTGGATGTGGTATTTCCTGAGCTCTTGAACATTTGATAAGATGTAGTAATATCAGAAACACTCTGCTAAGAGTTGTTTCCATAAATCAGATCAATTTTTAGTCTATAATTTTCAGAAGAATGTCTGTGATTATTTATTTTCATATGTTTTCTGTTTCCAACTTCTAAGTCCTGAGTCCACAAAACTCCATCTTGATTTCACTGTCATTTCAGGCCTTCAGATGTAACATGGCACAGTCCATGCACCATGCCATGGTGGTAGCAAGCAGCCTATCAGCACACACTGCCATTGCAGTGCACGCACAGGCAAAATGGCTCATGAGGGTGTACGTTGATTCTGCTCTTCTTAGGCAACAGAACTTGGTTTTGCATGGCAAAAACTTTCTAGGATTTTCAGATTTGCGTAGGTTTGGAACATTGCACATTTAGACACTTCCAAAGCAGTAAAGCAAACAACAAAGGCAATAGTGCACGATCTGCCTCTTATACTGCTTTTGGCCCTCAAAAACAGATGAAATCATCAGCACTGTACAGTAACTGAGTGTGATAAGTTGCTTAGGAAACAAGTATCACTTGATACAGTGTAAATTTCGCTTAATTGTAGCAGAAGAGCAAATGGGAAAGGCAACTATTTGGTTTGTGTTGGCTGGTTTACATATATTTATATGTAGAATTTTACCTACTGAAGTTGAGATGTGCTCATTCTGTGACTCACTGCACGGTGCCCCACCAGATGAAAGATACTATGGATAAGAACTTGCTCTTAGCAAAGATATATTGATCCCAAGATTAAAAACAAACAAACAAACTGTATCTTAGATGCACATTGAAGTAAGTCTTTTAATGTGATATTAAATTACAGATTAAAACCTGGAGTACAAACGTTGTATGAGACAAATGTTTTGATTGGAGGCAATTGGCAGCAACTCATTGGGGACTGGAGTGAAATAGAAAATGTCTGGCACTTGGAATTATGATGGAATGAAATCCTGTTATCATATCATGAAAGCACCACTGAAAGCTCAGTTTCCTTCAAAGTGGTGCAATACATTAGTTTAATAGTTATGTAGACAAAAAGTTTTAAATTCCTTAATTTAAGCTACACTGGCACTCCACTAGCTCCCAGATATCTACAGTATACACATCCTTTGACAAGAAGGCTGGGCACAAGGAGAGACTGCATGAAATTAGGATAGTAAAACATTTGAAAGGCAGCATAAAATGTATACCAAGATTATGTCACTGTGTCTAAATCTCCTCCATGCTGTTTGTGTAAGATTCAGCCCTGAAAGCAGATTGCAGAAACCTGTTATTAAATTAATGGAGTGGCATTTGTCTGCATCAATTGATTGCAGGATTTGGTCATCATTTCTAAGCTCTCTTGGACAGAGTTTAAGTCCACATTTTTTTTGCTGTTGTTGGGTAATGTTGGGTAATTCCAGAATACTGTTAAAAATGTTATTTGAGGGTTCTAGAACTTTTGGGTTAGAAGGTTTTGATAAAAAATGAAAATACTTTTATAAGAAAAGTGATTTAAGTTTCTAAAATCATCTTGGGCCTGTTAAAAATGTTTTTAAGACTAAACAGAAATCTACATAGCGTTAGCTGGATTTTTCTTGTCTGGGAAGACCTGACTAGCTCACAGAATTTCTCCCTATTATGGCTACCACCTGGACCAGTTAAGGGCTGACACTGGAAAAGGAAAGCAGGAACTGAGACAGAAAAAGTAGGTGAAGAGAAAAAAGAGTTAGAATAGTGGGGGCAAGGCTCCAACACAAAGAAATAAGAAGAAAGAAGAGTCATTTATT